GCTCCGCCCGGGCTGAGGAGAGGCCGCGGGCGGGAGGGAGGGCGCGGGGAAGCTCCGCTCCTCTGCCCGTGGCTCCGGGCTGGTGTTTCTGGAGCAGGCATTCGGACACTGCGGAGGGGCGCCGTGCTCAACAGGAGGGAAGGAAGAAAAGTTCAATGTCAGATTTGTTTGACGCCCGAGCTAAGAAGTACCCGCTTGGGCAGCTCCCTCCTGGGTCCCGCGTTACTTTTCGTAGCGAGCCCTGCCGGGCTCAGCAGGTGCACCTAGGGGCCAGTTCAGTTAATCACGTCTTGGTTTGTTTTCTCCGTGTTCCTTAGGTAGCACGTATTGCGCTAAATGTACACCAGCCTTTTTTTCCCCCTGATTTTTAGATTTCTCTTGCAATGTGCAATATCCTTTAATAAGATCAGCAGAAATTGATACAGAGTACGTGACTAATGATAAGGTGTGTAAAAAGATTGTTTCAAGCTGTGTGAACTTGCCTCATATTATCTACCTCTACAGAGAGGATCCAATTTTCTTCGGGCAGTATTGAACAACCTTAGCAGTTACAGTGCCTTTTTTCCTTCTGGTATCCATGGCTGTACGCTCTCCAAGTTCTGAGCAGCTAAATCATGACTCTCCAAACAGCCTGCTTTACTGCACTCCTTGTTCCCACTGCAGGCTTGTCCTCTACAGAAAAGATGTGATGATCTTATGGAAAAAGTGCGATCTTAATTTAGCATTTCCTGGCTTCCTTAAAACATTTTTTTTTGTATGTGTCATCTTCCTGATAACCCTTTTAAGCAGTTTGAAAAAAACATAAATTCCACTGTTTCACATGAGTCATAAAGCACTGGAGGTTGTAGGTCCACTGCGGATATGTGACACTTGGGCTAATGGAGTGACTGGCAGCAGTAGGAGTTTGTCGCTCTTCAGACCAGCTCTGGAAGACCTTTTCTGACAGAGAAGAAGCTCAGAGAAGGGAGTCAGATTTTCTGCACTTCCTTCCTGGTTCTAGAGGGGATTGTGTTTTTGAAGACACAGACTTCTGCGTCTCTTTCTCGAGTGTAATTCCAGCTACAAAATCATCTGCAACTTTTTTTCATTTACTCCTGGTGTTACCTCCCAAATCAGTAGGTCTCGCTTATGCATTAACAGTCTTACTTTACACCTCTTAGCCTAGTCAGTTTGTTCCAACTCTCACTGCTGTTCACTTTTTTCCCCTACTCTCATCCATTTTCCACTGTCATTACTTGTCCAGCCAACACCATTTATATTCCTGCTTCTTTCTCTGATATCTTTCCCTTCATTATACCTTGGATAGCATCCCAATCCTCATTTCCCGCTCATAATTCCACATCCTATTTTATTCCACAGAGTTCCCTGATATATTTGGTTTCATATCCCAGTTCTGTTGATCTTTCCTGTTTCTGTTCTTTACATTCCTCTTATCTGTTCTCCCCAAGCCACTTTTGTGGTGTGATTAACTGGTTCTTGTTTTCTCCTAGTTCTCTCCTTACCTCCCAATATCAACTCCTAGTTTCCAGTTTCTTCATTATACAGTCCCAATCTCTTTTCCTGTATGCTACAGTTTTGTTGCCTAGCCAGTGCTAGTTACAGCTACTACCCCTGGTTTTCCTTGTGCCCTACTTTTACCTGAACTCCTTATTCCAAACTTTCCTTTTCTCTCCTCTGCATCCGAGTTGGAAAGTTCTGTTTTCTGCACTGCCTGCCAGGACAGTCGCTGTGGACTTGGCAGATGCAGGTTCCTTGCTCTCAGTTGAGGAGCAGGTGGGGAGCGGGGAAGGTGGGGTTTTTTTATGTCTGTAGTGATGAACTGAAGAGATGAACCTATTTAGTGACTTGATGGGAAGGAAACACATAGTGCAATGTGCACTGAGTACATGTTATTTTCACAAGGTGAATAAATAACTGTTTCTTCTGAACATTTATGAAGTGCAGGTTTTTAGTTTTCTAACTTGGTAAATGACAAAGGCTTGCATGTAGTAAAGCACATTGGTATTTAGGGACCTTGAGACAAAGATCACTCACTGTCTGGTGTTTTGTCCTCCCCAGCCAACAACGAAACTCTTCATTGATGGGAAGTTTGTTGAATCCAAAACTACTGAGTGGATTGATATCCACAACCCGGTAAGTGAACTGGCCTCAGCTTACATATCAGTGATTACTGTGTGACAAGGGTCTGTGCCTCTGTGCGAGCATTTGGCAAAAGAGGAAAGTAAATGCATTTCTTGAAAAATGCTTAGACTTGAGGCTTAAGATAGATTTAGCACAGTGTAGTTGCTTCTCTACTTCCTTTTCACATGAATGTCAGTCTTAGGAAAGTGATGACCTCCTTTATCTGCCCTGTGTAGTTAAACCCTGATCTCCGGAAAGGAAGCTTAAACTCTGCTTACATTTTTTGTTTTTTTTGCTCATAAAAAGCCTCTGTGATCAGTTTGTCATACTTGTGAAGGGTTTCCTTCACCCTGTGCGTAAAATCACCAGGTGTGATTTGATGCCAGCTAAATGTGAAGTCCCTGATAGAGTCTGATTGCACTCTCAGACCAAGGTAAAAATCCTGACAGCTGAAACTCTTCTCCTTTCACATGCACAGTATTTGCAGTGCATTTATAGGTTGGATGCTATGCAGTGCAAAATAATCTTACATCAGTAGCACTTGTCCGAGTCCTCCACCATGAGTCCAAGACTAATGGAAATGAGGTTGCGCTCAGAGTTCTGACCCTTTTGACCCTTCCCAGTCCCCTAGTAAGCATTTGAACAGCAGTTTCTAAAACCTTTCTCTGTAAAGCTCTATTTTTATTTGCTTTGTGGAAGTGATCAGAGCAGTGAGCCACATTCATGAAGCTCATTTGGTCTCTGCGGCAATCAATGTCCTTGGTTAATTTGCTTTCTGTTATTTTGATTAGTTTTTTTCTTAGTGATGTACCTGATGCTTTTGCAATGTCAAAGCAGACTTCATTTTAAAGTGTAAACTGGCAAAGACAAGGTTTTAAAGTTAAAATACTGTAGAACTAAGGTTGCTTGTAAAAATCTTACTTTGCTCTAGTGATCTAGGTAATCGTGCCAGTTGCACAGTCATGTACTGCTTTTTACAAAGGAATCTCGCCTCATTTAATGTGCAAGAGAGACAGCAGATGAGCCAAGATAATGCAGAGGGAAAAGACTATAGTCCACAGAAACCTTTGCCTTATACTTCCAAGAAGCTCCAACACAGACAAGTCACTTCAGCTCCATCTTGGAAATCAGCACAGCATTTGCAGCTTTCTGGGTGGCTAATTTGAGATGTGTAAAGTGCAGGTTTCCTGAACTATTTCAGTTGTAGGCTGAGCTTTTTGTGTGCATCAAGGAAGGAGGCTCTTGTGCTCTCCCCTCAGAAGTACAGCTGCTTGCAGAACAAGGATATTAGGAGTGTGGTGTGAAAGGACTGCTGAACGGTTGACATGGACAGCTGAAAAAGTAGAGTATTGATGCAGGTTTTTTTTCCTTCAGGCCACAAATGAAGTGGTTGGCCGTGTACCAAAAGCCACAGCCAGTGAGATGGAGGCAGCTGTGGCTTCTTGCAAAAAGGCTTTTTGGAACTGGTCAGAAACATCTGTTTTGAGCCGTCAGCAAATCTTCCTGCGTTATCAACAACTCATCAAAGACAATCTGGTGAGACACCATGGCTGTGTGTGGTGGCTGTTGCTGAATGCATTGCAGTTGACTTTAGGAATTAAACTGAGAGCCTCGGGGTTTACTGTGTTCTTGATGAGGTGTTGCTGCCATGATTGAGGAGTCAACTGAGATGCTGTCATTGAGAGGTGTAGCAAAGCACTCTCCAAGCAAATGGGGACAGAGAGGCAGTGCTTCTTAGGGAATATTATTCTGCATTTGGTCCTTTATCAAAACACCATGAGAGAAACTTTCAGCCATGATGAAAAATGTGTCAGTTGATAAAGACAAGTGGGACAAGAATGCTACTATGACTTGGATTCCCCAGATTGCTTTTTCTGTGTCTGTGGTATGATACATGAAAACTGTAGAATATAAGCCAACACATGGCTGATTTTTCTAAAATGTCACCTGTGTGCATTACTGGCTTATCTACAAGGAGCAAATCAATCAGTGTAGGCTTTCCCAGGTTCTACACAGAGAAGAGGAGGCTGAGGGTAGACCTTGTCACTTTCTACAACTACCTGAAAGGAGGTTGTAGTGAGGTGGGTATTGGTCTCTTCTTGCAAGTAACTAGCGATAGGACAAGAGGAAGTGGCCTCAAGTTGTGCCAGGGGAGGTTTAGATTGGGTATTAGGAAAAATTTCATTACTGAAAGAGTGGTCAAGCATTGGAACGTTGCCAAGGAAAGTGGTGGAGTCACCATGCATGGAGGTGTTCAAAAAACTTGTAGAGGTAGCACTTCGGGACATGGTTTAGTGGACGTGGTGGTGCTGGGTTGACGGTTGGACTTGATCCTAGAGGTCTTTTCCAACCTTACTGATTCTACGATTCAGTCTTTGTTGTGGTGTTCAGCTCTGTTAAACTGTCTTATCTCTGCACCATGTTTCACAGGCAGGCACTTTTCTAACACTCATAAACTTTGTCTTCTCCATTTTTAGAAAGAAATTTCAAAACTCATCACCTTTGAGCAAGGGAAGACCCTGGCTGATGCTGAAGGAGATGTGTTCCGAGGCCTCCGTAAGCTGCTGGCTCATCCTGTTTAAAAAAGGGGCTTAGAGAACCTATAAGAAGGGAGGAGGTCTCCTGAGCAACTGATTGCTCTGAGTGTCTGTACATGTGTCTCCCTTCGCTGCTGCCTTCTGAAGGAAAAGGAGCAGTTGTAGCTATAACCTGAAAAGTTCTCTTAGATTGAGTTATGCTAAATCACATCCAAGTAGTTAGACGCTTTTTTTTCCTAGGAGCAACTACAAATTGCTGTAAAGGGATAAGATCTCCTCACTTGTGCTCAGATGTCTAAGGTTGAGTCCCAGATGGTACACTAACACTATACCTGTGCTTCTTTTACTGGGACTGTTGTGTCTGTGCTCCTATCACAGGGACATAAAATGCACTCAAGAGTTCGTTCACAATGGGCTCGCAGTGCTTGGCAGAGCAAAGGTATTTTCTGGAGCACAGTGAGTTTTAAGTTGTGGGAAGAGAGGCTGGAAGAAAGACTTGGGTCAAGGCAGTGGTGAGAAGGGAGTTTGGGGACTGATTGTTAGCAGTTGATCCAGTGGCACGTTGCCCTTTCTGCTGCAGAGGTGGTTGAACATGCTTGCAGTGTGACTTCCCTCATACTGGGAGAGACCATGCCCTCCATCACTAAGGACATGGACACTTACACCTACCGTCTGCCTCTGGGCGTGTGTGCTGGAATTGCACCGTTCAACTTCCCAGCCATGATTCCTCTTTGGATGTTCCCCATGGCTATGGTTTGTGGAAACACCTTCCTGATGAAACCATCCGAGCGTGTACCAGGAGCACTGATGTTCCTTGCTAAGCTGTTTCAAGATGCTGGTGCCCCCGATGGGACCCTGAATATCATCCATGGACAGCATGAAGGTAATAATAGCTCTTGGGAGATGGCTGGAGTGTGGAAATGTTGTGGCATATGTTCAGAGGAGGTACTAATCGAGTTGTAGAGTCTGATACTACTGCTGTTAGATAGGTTTGGACAAAAACTTCAGCCCTCTTGATGGAGGGGAGGTGACTGGGAGATTCTCTGCCATCTTGCACCAAATCTTTTGGGACATATGGCAGACAAAATTTTGGGGACTGGGGTCAGAGTTCCCAAGGCACATAAGTGCCTTAGCAGTCTAAGCTCCAATTGAAATAAGTAGATAAATATCTTGATTTCACAAGGAAGCATAATTGATAATTAAATGCTTCAATGTATATGGAGTGGATGCCCCTATTTTAGCTCCTAATGTGATGTTTTCCACAGCACCCAAGTAACTTCAGAACATAAGGATACAAATAGACAGCAGTAACTTCGCTTCAGCATCACTTGGGCACCTTGAGAGATGCCCAGAGTGAGAAGAGATGGCAGAGAGCCAGCTGTATGAACACAGGGTCAGTAGTACACTTGCTGAGAAATTAGTGTAGAGATGCATGGACAAATGCTAGGGAAACTCAAAGGTGGGAACACAGAAGCAGGAATTATGATAGGAAGAAAGATACATAGATTAAGCACTGTGGGGTTGGGGACAGAGTGAAGCATTTGTGCACCACAGTATATAATGTCTTATTTCCTATTTGAAGCTGTGAATTTCATTTGTGACCATCCGGATATCAGAGCAATCAGCTTTGTGGGATCTAATCAGGCTGGCGAGTACATCTATGAGAGAGGATCTCGGAATGGCAAGAGAGTCCAGGCCAACATGGTAATACCTCTGAATGGAGCACACTTCAGCACACAGACTGCCTCTGTCTCCTATGAATGTTGAGAGAGACCACGCCACTCAGCAGCAGAAGCTGACTTTGCTACTGATAGTTAAGTGATGAGGCTGCCCATTTTGCCAGCCTGTTGGTAGCAGAGTCATAGCTACTGTAAGAAGTTATTGCCAGAGAACTGGAGAAGAAGTGGGCTGGGGTGGTTAATAATGAGAGACCATGTTTGTGTCACATTTCAGGGAGCCAAGAACCATGGTGTGGTGATGCCTGATGCCAATAAGGAGAACACCTTGAACCAGCTGGTTGGAGCTGCTTTTGGAGCAGCTGGCCAGCGCTGCATGGCCCTGTCTACAGCAATTCTAGTGGGAGAAGCTCAGAAATGGCTACCAGAGCTTGTGGACAGAGCCAAAAATCTACGTGTAAATGCAGGTATGTACTGTGATGATTTCTTACGAGGTACTTCACTTCTGTACAACTGTAGCTTTTTAGGCCAGGGCATCTGCCATATTACGGTGTGTCCCTTGGAGCTATTGGCTCCATAGGTTTGATGTGTAGGAATAGGAGCTAGCAGATTGTCTGGATTGGGAAACACAACCCTAGAGGTGGAGTTAGGAATATGTGAGAAGGCTTGGCAGTATGACTGCGATGCAAGATTTACAGGATCAGTCTTGTTTTAACTGGAGCTTTGAGGTTATATCCTATGTTTAAGTCAAACCTACCATTTATATAGCAACCTCACTTAGATCTCCTTCAAATCTGCAGTAAACATGCAATAAAAAGGAAAAATGGAAACAAGTACTTTGGGAAAACTAGGCTGTTATTTATTCTAGGAGAATTATCTTTTGTTAATGTTCAATAAAGTCCTGCAAAGAGGAAATGTTTCCTTTTTGAGAAGAACCTGAATTTTGGCTTCGCAGTGACCTTAAATTATGCTTATGGTTAATCTTGTTTGTTGATTGTGAGAGTTGCAGGCTATTGCTGCTGTTCAGTAATGTCTCAAATCTTTGTTCTGTCAGAAACATCAAGATACTCAGACTTTTCCTGCCAGTGTAGTTATCTCCATGATGCCTATGCAGTGGAAGCTGTCAGGATTAAAAACGTGGTGTCTTTCCTCGACAGGAGACCAGCCTGGAGCAGATCTAGGGCCTCTAATCAGTCCCCAGGCTAAGGAACGGGTTTGCCATTTGATTGAGAAAGGAGTAAAAGAAGGTGCCAGCCTTCTTCTGGATGGACGTAATATCAAAGTGAAAGGCTATGAAAATGGCAATTTTGTTGGACCAACGATCCTTGCCAAGGTCAAGGTAAGATGACCAGCACCAGTGCTTGATGCTGTATGTTTGGAAATGGGTTAGCCAAATCAGCCAGTAATCAATAATCACCAGGTAGAAAGCCCATAAATGGCTCAGCTTTCCCTTGCTCAATTCCAATGAAGTGCTCGTTGTAATGCTGTTGTGGAGGTGATAAAAGAATTTGCAGAAGTGCAAAAAATTGTGAATTAGGTCAATGATCTTAACTTTAAGGGAATGCAGCCAATTAAAAGAACATATGGGCAGTTTGTACTGTATCACAATTAATGTCCACTGAGCATAGTGTACTGTCTGCATTAATGGCTGGCAGCAGATGGCTAAAGAAGGGTATGATGAACAGTCAAACCTGCAGCTTTCCTTCCTCCATTATACATTCCTGCAGTTTGCAATTTAAGGACTTGCAGAAACAAGAGTTAAATATTTGTGGAAATCTTTATGAGAATAGTGTAGGGCAAGGTACAAAATCCTTTTGTTGTTGAATGTTTTGACAACTTCATTGAGTCAGCCTCTCAAGAAAATGCGTGGTGTGCAACAGATGGACACTACTGTGGGGAAATATTCTTTATATTCTTTATCAATCACACATCCATGTGAGTATTCATACCTAAATTCGTTCCTTTATGCAATTAGCTGGTATGATTTCCTTAATATTCAAGCATTCAGTTCATCATGGGCCTTCTAGTGAGTGATTCCATGCTAGCAAACCAGCCTTGATAATTCTGCTGTTGTGCATTGTGTCCTTAAGATTTTAAGGATTTTATGCTATTATATAATTCAGGTTTTCAATCTATCTCAGATTTTTTTTTCCTTATTTTCATTAAACATCTTTAAATACTTCACTTTCCTGTGATGTGTCATAAATTGTTTGGTATTGAAAAGTAAAAATTTCACTGAGATTTTGTGTTTCTTTTTTTTTTAATACAGTGATGTGGTTAATAATGGCCATGTAAACTTACAACTTGTCAAATTAATGTTTTGCAATTTGCTGTATTAGTTAGTTGTGATTAAAGTATGTTCTTAACTGTGATGGTGTATTTGTCAGATGTTGCTAATATCATATGTAAATCCTGGACACTAACTTGGAAAGGGCAGCAGGTTCTGGTCACTTTGTCAACAAGACCTGAAGTAAACTGTCCTGAACTAATCCCAGTTGTAATCAGCCTTGGTCAGCGTAGACTGTAAGTGAGGTTAGGCAGGCAGTAAAAGCAGAAAGTGCTCTGGAGAGGAGAAGTGGAACGCTCTTTAGTGGACTAGATAGATGGCAGGGCATGGGAAATGGTGAAAGAGTAAGGAGGACTGAAAGATGGCCTGTGGCAATGCAGTGTGATGGGTGATCCTAGGAATATCCTGAGCGTTAGAAGCATGTGTGATTATTATAACCTATTTCCTAGGATGTTTGTCTTATATCCTGTTTAATATATCCTATATACAAGCTGCTTTTTCTGCTGTTTGTCTTGACAGCCGAACATGACTTGCTACAAGGAGGAAATCTTTGGGCCAGTCTTAGTGGTTCTGGAAGCAGACACTTTGGATGATGCCATTGAGATGGTGAACAATAACCCCTATGGAAATGGAACTGCAATCTTCACCACCAATGGAGCCACAGCTCGGAAATATTCTCACTTAGTAGATGTGGGGCAGGTATGGTCAAGCTGGAGTTGTTTCCATTAGTACTCACCATTGAGAGTGGGTAGCCATCCAGCTGCAGTGGCTAACCACTGACTACTCAGCAGGCAGTACCCAGCCTCAGATTTAAGGAAACAAAATGCGGTAGCTTTTGGAGAGTGCTCTGCCATCTGCTACTTGTGATTAATGTAGCAGCTTTCCTTTGGTTTAGGTGGGTGTCAACGTTCCAATCCCAGTGCCTCTGCCCATGTTCTCTTTCACTGGCTCTCGTGCTTCTTTCAGAGGAGACACCAATTTCTATGGCAAGCAGGTAACTTACTGATTCAGAGTACTCTATTGGGTTGAATTGTGATAAATCACGTTATAAATGGCAACGGGGAGATGGTCATCAGACCTCATTAGTAAGGAGACTTTGAAACCATCTCAACCAGGAAACTGAAGAGCAGCCAGGGCTCACAGCCACCATAATGTATGTTACAATAGCTGATTCCCTTTTTTTATCCTTAATATAAAAAAGCAAGTCTGGTTTTTTTAGGAGATTTGAGAAGGGAGGAAGAAGTAAGTACCAAGCTTTCTCACAGAACCAGAATCTTTGGGGAACTGGTAAAAGGAACAAGCTGACAGGAATTGTTCCCACAGAGGAAAACTCAGCCCTCTGCAGATAGAGCAAAGACTGCTTGATACACCAGTGGTGCAAACCTGAAGAATTCATAAGGCCAAACATCTAATCCTTGTGTCTCTCCTTTCCTCCAGGGAGTGCAATTCTACACACAGCTGAAAACTATCATTTCTCAATGGAAAGAGGAAGATGCCACTGTTACCAAACCTGCTGTGGTTATGCCAACTATGGGAAACTAAATCAGCCTTTACAGATGCTGTTCCTGGTGCCCTTCTACTTCTATGCTGCACTTTCCAGCTTTGTCCTGAATATCATTTCCTTGGGGATGAATAGAAAGCTCCATTTTCTCCAGGGCCTCTTGTTTCTGTGCAGATCAGGCAGGCTCGTGTAACACAGTTTTCTGTTGCTCTCAGTGTTTTCTTGCTAGCTGAACTCATTTTTTTTCCTATAACCTATCATGGAGGAAACAACCTTAACTAATTGAAAGGGCAGACAGTGAGATTGGTCATAATTTGTGTTTCTTTCCAGACCCTCTGAACCTGAACGTTATTCTGGTTTCCACTTCAGTATCTTTAGCCTTTGTGACTCACTCCTGGCTACTTCCTGTAGCAGATTTCTTTACCTCTTCTTACATGTTAAGATTTTGAGTTCACCTTACTCAAAGATGAGTATTCCTTTTGAGTGACATAACTGGGACACCATGGGTGTCTCACAGAAGTGACTTTACATACAATGAAGACAGCGAGTTTGGGAGTTGAAAATGTCAGTCTGTCATCTGTTGAGCAGTTTTCAAAACACTTGGGAAATGGCTTTCTAAGGATTTTTCAGGAAAGCATATTTGCTTATCTGAGGATGAAACTCCTGTGTGCTACAGTGACCTTCACTGTGCCTCTGATAGCTTGAAAACTTCTGTTCCTGTTGTGCACATGGCTTGTGTTCTCCAGCTTGCTGTCAATTCCACTGTACCTGAAAGCTGTTTGGTGTCTTTTCACTGTGCTAACAGATCTGTGCCTACAGGTCCTGTAACATACTGAAACTGTGGAAGCAGAAACATAAGCCTGTATCTGTGTCTTTGCATCACAGCACCATGCGGGTCTGGGTGGAAGGGCGAGTAAGTAGATGGGTCAGTGGGAAGAAAACACGTTTTTTAATCACAAGGCAGCTAGGCCTGTTCTGTTGGTTTCTTCTCCTGACTATAGCTGTGTTTGTTGTGTTGATTAATCGACTCCTTGTCACGTTTGCTCAAACACAATCACATTCTTTAGGGACTGCAGGTCCCATTACTAGAGAAGGATAAGACTTGGTGTACCCTGTTTTTAAGAATCTGTTTGGAGCTGGAGAGCCTATATTTTTATTCCTGGTTCTTGGAAGATAATGCAACCATGAGGGATCTGCAGGGAACTCATTCAAGCACCCATGGAAAATGATGTTATTTTAATGATTGTAACCATTTAACTAAACCTGAATGTGAACACTTTTTATCCTGCCTTCTGGTAAAGATGCCTTGTAACTGACAGTTACATATTAGTGCAATCGCTGTGCATTCACTAATGTTTATCTTGGGTTTTTTCCCTCTGCTATACCCTAGAGGGAAATTCTTACCTTGCAATTTGATTATGAATTAAAAACATGCTAATACATTTCTGCAGGATATGACTGCTCCTTGCTAAGACATTATATAGGTGCAATGTTGCCCCTCTTGCAGAGACTGGTCTGTGCCTCCTGTAACCCGTGTTACATCTTCCTTTGACAGTATTTCAAGGACCTCTGTACCAATTTCCTCCTGCAGCATTTCAAGAAATGTCTTGTTTCTCTTTCCACATACACATGATTCGATCACAAAAACTCTTAAGCTTCACATAAATTACTTTATTACAAACTGAAAATATATCTTTGTTACCTGAAATTGAAAATAACTCTCGAAGCACAAAGTATATTTAGAGAGGAGACATTGTTTTATTCTGCGCAGGGTGCAGGGTGGAAGATTTCCACAAATCAAGCACACCTGATGGGATTCCTTACTGGTTATTTATACACGGAAGTTGCAAAGTCCTGTCTAACGAATACAATTATTCCATCTGTCTAATATATATTCATTTTACTGAACAAGCAAAGTCGTCTGCATCTGCATGGAGGTCTCAGGGGGTCTCTGGTGGTCATTTGGGGAGGAATACCCCTATTTTGTCCTTTTATGGTCTTATGTCATCTGAGGACACCAGAGGCTTTGTCCTTCTTGCCAACTTCTCGTTTTCATTATAACAACAGTCTTTGGTTAAGCAAGTCTGTAACCATGAGGTGGAGCACTGGCTGCTAATAACCCCCGTGTTTGTATCCATCCTTATTTTTAACTGTTACTTTACCCTATTCTATTTTACCCAGTCACTTTTCAACATCTCTAAGGTAACAGTCACTGCTTAGAGACTTGTCTAAGTGTAATCCTTAGATAATTCTCACTCTTGAAACAAGTTGCCTATTAAAAGCCAAGCAACATTTGTAGATGCCCTGTATAACCACGTATAGACACACAAAGGTTACCAAGATTACTAACACCACTAACTTCTGGAGCCACAAACTTAAATCAGGGAACAAAGAAGTCAATCACTTCCAAGTTTCTTCAAAACCTAAAGATGTCTCATCCTTCTGAATTTCATGCAATATCTTAGTTTGTTGGCAAATTTCATTCAAATCAGTGGCAGTTCTTCCACTCCGATCTAAATATGCTCAACAGCTGGTATTAATCACTGCACATACTCCTTGAGAGGCTAATGACAGATCTAGGGCCATTCTATTTTGAGTAGCTATTCTGGCAGTTCCTGATAGTTTGTCCTGTAAAACTACGATAGCATCAGAGGTTTCATTTCCAAATGGATCCAAGGTCCTAATCCATGAAGTTTAACTGTGGTGTATGTGCTCAGGAGAACCAGAAAGAGTCCTTTCCAGCATTCCTTCAGAGCTTCATTGTTCCAAGTTCCCAGGTTGACCCAATCTCCTGGCTGAAATTCTTGGGCTGCAGCATCCAGGCCCAAAGGTGTTCCCAGCTGTGGATACTTGTCAAGAGAAGACAGAACCTTCCCTAAAGAAATCACCTGTTCTTTAAGATATGGTTACCCTATTAATTCTGTACATCCTAGCTCATGATTTATACTCTGATAAAGTTTACCATATAGTACTTCAAAAGGGCTGACTCTTTCTTTGGAGCTTGGTGTAATTCTTGCTCTCAGTAGTACTAATGGGAGAGCATCCAGCCACTTTAACTGAGTTTCCTGATGAATTTTATTCAACTGCCCTCTAGTTGATCGACTCATTCTTTCTACTTTCCCACTAGACTGCAGACTCCATGGTGTATGTAAATCCCACCTTTTCTCTAATGTTTTTGCTAATGATTGAATCACTTTTGCTACAAAATCAGGTCCTCTATCTGAGGACATTCCAATTGGTATTCCAAAACGAGGAATTAATTATTTCAGTAATATCTTAACTACCTCCCTAGCCAGATTGGTGCAACAAGGAAAGGCTTTTGGCCATCCAGAAAAAGTATCCACTAATACCAATAAATACCGATACCCTTTTTGCCTGGGAAGTTCTGAGGAGTCCATTTGCCAGTAATCACCAAGAGTATCGCCCTTTTTTGGTTTTCCCAGGTGGAGGTTTAGGTTGAATCTAGGAATTATTTCACTCACAGATTTCACAGTTCTTGACAGTATATATTTCCAATTCCTACACTTAAAAGTGTGGAGTTTAACATTGTCCGTAAGTGCTTCTATGCCCCAATGTATTTCTCTGTATTCCTTTTCCACGTGCGCTAACAGGAAAACGGCACCTACAATGACAGAGCCAGAAAGCACCGATAAAGCCTGAAAGGCAGCAACAGGCATGACCTGGCTCCCCTTTCTTTGGCTTCACAAGGAATTGGTGACAGCCCAGCAGCGAGCGCTATTGCTGGCATTGACTACGCCATGGCTCTGGCTCCTTGTCCCCATGGGTAATGCCCTTAGAGACCTGTGCCTGTGCACAGATGCACCGCGCCCCTGTACCACGCAGCAGGGCTCAATGGGGAGACCCTGGGGAGCTGCCATGGAGTTATTTCCCAAGCCTGCACAGCACCATCCCTCGCCAGCCAGTTCAACTGCCTTAGAGCAGTGTTGGGAGCTGGGAAAGATGGGCAGCAGAGCCTGATACACACCTGGCCTCTTGGCCTGACGGATCTTGCTGCATTCCCGAGGCAGTCTTCGATGCCAAACAATGTTTTCTTTCTTCCTCCATTTCTGCCTGGCTTTCCCTCTTCTCTCCCCAGGCCTCTTTTCTCTTCCGCTCTCTTGGTTTTGCGTTGTCCTGAGGAGAGCCTGCAAGTCTTTGCACCCCACAGTGGCATTAGATAGGGAAAGCCACCATCCCCTGCAGTCAGTTCTTACTGTAACCAAAGCGAGCTCATTTCACCTTCTTTCCTCTGAAAGGCTCCTCAGTCCTTCTGGGTGTACGAGGGACTCTGCCACGCTCTCAGGGGCTGTTGGAGGCAAAGCTCGAGGTGCCTAAACCAGAAATGCTGTCGTCAACATGCAGCACATATCCACTGCAATTCAGAAACAACCTTTTGGGTTTTCCTTTCAATGAAACATTCAGAAGGGGAAGAGATACCCCACTCAGACACACAGGAGATTGGCTGCTAGGAGGAGGCACAGCAGCTACTTGGCCTCATCAGAAGCTACTCTCCTACCCAAGACACCTTGTCACCACGTTTGGGGAGCTGCCCTACCTCTGACATTTTGGATTCCAACGCTGCGTCTGCCCCAGCTTCTCTCACCACCTCCAGAGAAGGGGCTGCAGCCAGCAAGGCTTTGGCCTGGTGGCCCTTCTCTGCTCTGCCTGCTGGGCCACTTTGCTCTTCTGCACGCAGGTCTAGAAAGCAAAAGCCTGTGCAGCAAAGTGACTTCTGGGAAGCGAGGAACACCTACAGCAAAACCCACCCAAAGCCCTGCACCGCTTGTCTTCTGAACAGTGAGGTCTCTGGGGATACCATGCCCCAGTCTGTGACGACCCTCAGTTCCTCCTCATACCTGTGGATCTGTCCATGGGCGCTGGCGACTCCTGGGCCGATGGACGCCAGGCAGCTCCTCCCCAAAGATGGCATCGCAGTTCTCAATCAGGAACTCCCCCAGCAGGTTCACCTGCACACATCAAACCCTTGGGCTCAACACAGCTGCCTGCCCAAAGATGGACCAAGCAGCCTCTCCCACTCCTGACCCTTGCCTCTGCGCAGGAGACACTTGCTGTGGGGCTGCTGTGTCAGGCAGCCACCCCACCAGCCAAGCTCTGATGGGCCACGAAGGCTGCAGCCCGCTGCTCA